TTATCTGTATATGATTTAAGATTGTATATTTATCTGTATATGATTTAACATTTCATTTCTCATATATCTAATTATCTTTATGATTTAACATTTCATTTCTTGTTATATATTAATTACCTTTATAAATCAATATATTATATTATCAAGAATTTGGTTTTATCTCTCTAGAGAACCCTGTCTAACACAGAACTTTACAGACAGAGATCACCAGGCATTTTTTCTGGTGCCATCAAGTTGGCTCGACTGCTAATTTTTCATTTCAATCACCCAGAGTCCTTCCTGGCACATAGTAGTAGGTGCTTAATAATGTTTGTAGAAAGAAGAACGGCAAGGGATCTCAGTGAAGATCATTCAAGTTCACTTGTGAATGAATTGTAGTGATCTTTATTAAACATACTTTACCCTTCTTTTTTAGGTGCAGAACTTTAGGAGAGAATCCCATCTGTTCTATAGGTAAGCAATTATTTTGTGATGATAGCTGCCTGTTTTACATAATATAATATTCAATCATAATAGTTTAATTACCAGTATGATTGAATATTAGGTCACTTAAAGTCTTAGCGTATGTTTGAGAGTGGCTGGGCCATATTCCATATCTCACATGTACAGGGTAGTCGAGAGAACATAAAGTAGTTGTTAAGGGCAAGAACAGTGTAGAATGTTTGAATTCTGATTCTACCATGTATCAGTTCTATCATCTTCAGCCAGCTAGTCAACCGCTCTGTGTCTTGGTTTCCTCACTCAAAAAAATAGAGATGATTATAAAACCCACTGCTGTTGAGTCAATTCCACCTCATAGCAACCCTGTAGGACAGAATAGATTGTCCATGGAGTTTCTAAGGCTGTAAATCTTTTCAGAAACACAGTGCTACATATTTCTCCCATGGAAAATCTATAAAGTGATAAAAAAACTGATGAGAAATCTATGGCCCTACATGGAGGATATATTGAGAAACAATAGCTTCATGTTTTGATATTTTTATTTAATTAAAGTATGTATTATTTTTTAACAATAATTTTGACTTGTTTTTATATATTATCTTGTGTGGCTGCACGGTACTGCAGTAAATGAAACTATTTTGGGGGAAGATTCTGAATATGATTCTGAAGATGTCTGATTGAAGTGCCTGAGAAGAGGATATATTAAATAACCCATAGATATGCTCATTTTAAAAAGTCATTTTATTGGGGGCTCGTACAATTCTTATCAGAATCCATACATACATCCATTGTGTCAAGCACATTTGAACATTTGTTGTCATCATCATTCTCAAAACATTTGCTTTCTTCTTGAGCCCTTGATATTAGCTCCTTATTTTTCCCTCTCCCTCCCTGCTCCCCTCTCCCTCATGAACCTTTGATAATTTATAAATTATTATTATTTTGTCATATCTTACACTGTCCAACGTCTCCCTCCACCCACTTTTCTGTTGTCCTCAGGGAGGAGGTTATATGTAGATGCTTGTAATCGGTTCCCCCTTTCTACCTTACCCTTCCTCCACCCTCCCGGTATCGCCACTCTCAGCACAGGTCCTGAGGGGATCATCTGCCCTGGATAGCCTGTTTCCAGTTCCTATCTGTACCAGTGTACCAGAATTTGGATCACGATAGGGGATGAGGAGGAGAAAGCATTTAGGAACTAGAGGAAAGTTGTATGTTTCATCATTGCCAAACTGCACCCTGACTGGCTCGTCTCCTCCCAGCAACCCTTCTGTAAGCGAATGTCCAGTTGCCTACAGATGGGCTTTGGGGCCCCAATCCGCACTCCCCCTCATTCACAATGATATGATTTTTTGTTCTTTGATGCGTGATACCTCATCCCTTCGGCACCTCTTGATCACGCAAGCTGGTGTGCTTCTTCCATGTGGGCTTTGTTGCTTCTGAGCTAGATGACCGTTTGCTTACCTTCAAGCCTTTAAGACCCCAGAGGCTATATCTTTTGATAGCCGGGCATAGATATACTCATCTTAAGCTCAAAATTTAGGTCCATACATATACATGTGAAGTAATGATTTGGTTGGATTTCGTTGATATGGGTGAATCAGATTGATTAAAGAAAGAGAAAAGGTAGAGAAGGGCCTAACATTTAGTCAGGACCTGAGGCCCTCCAACACTGAAAAATTGGGTAGAGGGATGAAAGAGAGGCTAACGAGTTGAAAAAGGAGGCCAAAGTCATAGTATAGTTTCATAGCAGCCTAAGGAGAGTATTTTAAGAAAGAAGAAGTCACCATGCTGTTTGATCATGGTGCTGCTGAGAGAAAGCTACTATAGACAATGGTTTAAAAAATTTGACTGAATGTGAGGCAGGACAGTTGGCAGGAACAAGAACAGAATATGAGGTCGAAGAAAAGTGGTGGTGGTGTTTTTTTAAGTGGTTGTTTCATAATTAAAGTTTTCATTATGAGATAGATATAAAATGATAGAAAAGCAATACAGATAATCTGTCGAGTGAACATAGGATTGGTGATCATTAACATTTTATAATTCTTCAGTCATCTTTGTTTTGTATTTAAAATTTGTTGGAGAAGAAAGAAAAATGTTATAGATGATGTTTCATTCCCTACATTCTCTGCCTTTCTGTCATCCCTTATCGCTACCCAGAAGCAGAGTTTATTTTGAGCTGAGGAGCATTTTTTATTTGTGTGCTTTTAATTACTATTAAAATGAACAATTGTTAAAACTTCAAATGAATGCATATGATAAAAATAGGTACAAAATGGTAAATGATGAAAAGTAAAATTTTCTTCCCCTTTTCCAGCCTTACTTCATAGTACTGTCTACTGATACCAGTTTCTTGTCCCTCTCTGGGGAAAGTTTTATGTCTGTGTGTAGACACACACACGAGACTAATTGTATACAAGTGGAATCATATTATAAATCATGTTGTATGAAGTTATTTTAATTCTGGATGTCTAGGTTGTTTAGGTTGTCACTATTTTAAAAACTGCTGCAGTGAACATTTTTATACATACTTCTTTGCAAACTTGTTCCAGTATATTTGTAACCTAGATTCCTGGAATTGAAATTGCTGAGTCAATAGATTGTGAATTCAATTTTTTTGGTAAGTATTGCCAGATTGCCCTTCAGAGAGATTGTACTAATTTCAATTTCCATTAACAATGTATATGCCTATTTTCTGGCCAAAGTAGGCTATCTAAATTATTTTGCTTTTTTTGCTAATGAAAATGATCTCTTATTGTTTTAATTTGCATCTTTGAGAGAGTTATTTTTTTGTATGTTTGTTGGCCATTTATATTTCTTTCCTTGTGAACTGCCTGATTATATCAGTTTCCAAATATTCTTTTTCTTCCTGGACTCTTTGACATCATCTTCCTTTTCTTCTT